GCAATACTCGAAACCATATCATTATACTTGGAGAATTTCGTAAAGAGTGATTACATTCACACCACATATTTTTATAAACATACTACATTTTAATTACATTAAATGTCATTAATCTTTCTGCATTATCAGACTTATATTCTTAACATTTTCTTCGCCGCGTTCATATTTTCAACACTTCATTGATCCTAAAATCTTATCTCTAGACAAGTTTTTCGTCCAAAATATTGTTACTGTGCTTTAAAATTATGGTCAATTATTTAGTCACATTTTTACGTTATTATTTGTTTTGCTTATTTAAAATAGACAAATGAGCCTTGTTGCTCTATTTTAAAGAAACTTCTGGAGAGAAACCATAACCAAAAATGACTTATGTTGATTTGAGAATAAAAATGCGATAAAAAAAATTATGAGACATAAATATGATGATGTGTAAAGGTAGAAACCTCGTCTATCAAGGGCCAAGCTCGGCTCTGCCAACTAGCTTGCCTTTTTCCTTTTTATGTATAAAAAACTTCCTCATTTTCTCCGAGTTTGGGATCGACTACTTAATTTTTGAGTATGCATGGTTAAAATTGTATATGAACAACTTTTTATGTGCACAATTTTTTTAAAAGAACAAAATATTATTAAGAAAATAACAAATTTTGATTATATGATGAAATTAAATATCATTTATCTGATTACACGCAATTTCGACATACCTATTTTATATTCGATAATGAACGTTTTGGCAATCCATTATGTACATTAAGCTTTCCAAAATGTCTTCTTTGAATTGGTTCCTAAACTTGGACAGAGTTCGCTTACCTACACTAAAAGTAGACTCCGAATCTACAATGGTAATTAGGGGTATTAGTAGATCTTTTTCAATTACATAAGCAATGGGATATCTACATTCATGACGTCAAAATCAAGTAAATCAAATTTCATGCATCAACAGGTTCTACGTTCCTAAGCATTTGATTATTAAAATATCTATGTAATTCAACATGCATTCCAATTGGAGCTAAACCTACATCCAATGTCTGATTGTATGCAGAATTAATACTAGAAGAATCTACATCAAATCTTTCATTCCTAATGTCTGTAAATAA